TCCATGCTGCTTCTGGGAGGCAGGTGTGACCAGAAGCTGGGAGCAGGTTGGGGAGGAATGCAGAGGTGGCAGATCTTCCTAGGAGTCTGGACTGTGTTGTAAAATGCACTAGGAAGGATTCTGGAGTTTAGTTCTCATATGACCCAATCTCTATATTCCACTGCATAGTCATTCAGGCCTTCTCGGAGGTGTGTGCTGTCCTTGTGACCCACTATCTAAGCTCTCTCCATATGATTACAAGTGTACCTCTTGCCACCAGACCTGTATACTCAAGTGGTCATGAATATTCATTATCAGCTTTTTTTTATTTTGTTTTATTTTTTTAAGGTGATAAAAGCTGTAGTGAAAACTTGTGCCACCTGAGAAGGTGTTTTTTCAGTCATTTTGACTGAAAAAACCTGGGGCAGCACATACTATGCACTGTTATCTAGCTTATAATACATTCAGAGACAACTACAAAAGACTTCCATTGTTCAAGAGCTTTCTGTAGCTGAACATATGTGCTGAAGCACAGTGGAAAAAATACTAGCAAAAGTGCCCAGTGTCTAGAGAAGTTTAAATACACCAATGGCAACAGCCTGGTTGCTGATGCACAGTCTTGCCTGCTGTCTTCTGGGGTTTGGATACAACAAAACACCTGGGCTTGGAGCCACAGACCTCAAAATATCAGTATCAGAGCAGAGGATGATTTATTTTTCTTAAGTCCTGAACGTAGACATTTGCACAATTATTTAAAGATGTTAAGTATCAAAAGATGCAAGTAAAGATGTAAGTATTATCCTCTGGAGGCATGCTGGTTTCCTTTTGGCAAATTTGGGACAATAAGTAGCAACTGTGGCGAAACTACTTGAAATTCAGAGGGACCACTGAAATAAAACATAGGCCTAGACTAAAAGAGCATCAAAAGAAAGAAAGGCTATCTTTTCATAAGGAGAAAAATGTTCATAAGGGGAAAAAAGAAAAACAGGTAGTATCATCATGACAGAAGGAAGTATCTATTGGTCATAGATACTATAAGCCATTCTGCAGCAAAGAAATAAAATAAATGATGGAATGAAAGGAAGTATTGACGCTTGGAGACTTTTGTCACAGAGATGGAAACTTTCTTATTACATTGAAGCATTAGTCTGCTAAACTTCTGGCTGAGACCAGTGGACATGATGGTTACTGCCTTTGCCAGTCAGAACAGAGAAAAGGCTGAGCTGCACTGTGGGTGCCACTTGTCACAGAGGATCCACCACCAGCCGGAGTTTATGCTTTTGGCTGGCATATCCTTCCCCAAGCACTACTGCTGCCTCTGGCTCTGTGCTCTGGAGCAGGCAGGATTGATGATGAGCATATACACAACAAGAAAAAGAACAAAGTGAATACTTCTGCCTCCTTCAGGTCCACTGAAAGTGTTTCACAGTCTTGCTTCTTGCTCAGAGGATTTCAGAAAGCCTCTTCACTGTCCTCCTACAGTAAGGACCCCAAAAACTTAACCACAATAACAGATCATGAATAACTTTACTGATGCTGATAGAATATTAAACATTCTACATATATCATTTAAACCAGTTTACTGGATTGGATAGTCTATCTCCATTCTAATAAACTCTTTCAGATGGCAAAATAGAGGATTTGCATGCAAAGTCTCCACTGAGAATGATCCTGGGAATGTTCAGACCACAGATTGTAGCTAGGAATTCTTTGAGTGTGCTGGCTGGCAGAGACCTAAAGCCTACCTGGGAGGCCTCTAACAGGAGCTGAAGACACAATTGCATTCCAGTGCACAGGACTGTTCTGGGCACTGTGTAATTTGCTAACACAGGCATAGCCTCACTGTCTGAAGCTCTTTGCTCCAGGGAGCTTCTCAACTCCAGAATCTGGATACATGTTCCCTTGCCTCCCAACCATGTTCTGAAGTGAGAGAAAGCCAATTTCATGCTCTTGGGAAGGAGACTTGAGTACACAAGTAAGAAGAGTGTGACTATCCAGACAACCGTGGGACTAGAGTGCTCTGGCACACATTTCATCATTGGTCACAGTCACTCTTATTAGAGTGACTTCTTATATTAGAAGGTATTTCTTCATTTTGTGCCAGTCCTAGACCTACTTAATGTTTGTGGCAGCAGGTCTTTGTCTGCATCTATTTTTCTTCTGCCCCTTTTCAATGGAAAATGGCTATGTTAGCTCCTGAATTCTTTCCAGAGCACTATCTGGGCATGAACAGTTCTGTAATTAAACCAAACTATTTTAGCTCACAGGAATAACTGAGTGAAATTTATCTGAGAGGAATGATGTATATGATCCCAATGGAAGCCTGGAAAGACTTTATCAGCATGTCAGAATAATTTCACAGCTTAAGTAGATGGGCCGAGAATAGACTTATGAGATGCATGTGTATAACTAAGATCTTTCCTATATTATTTTCATTGCACTTGCTTAAAAACACTTTGTATGGAAACAAAGAAGATTTTATTTTTAATTACACATTGGGCAAGCACTTAGGAGTTATGTCTTGAGCCCAGCAATGGGCTCTGCTGCTCAGGCTGAGAGCTTCAGAGTTCATCAGAACTGCTCGAGTAATGGTAAGTGGAGGTTCATCTTCTCCCATTGTTTCACGCTACTAGAGACTTTAGTGGTGTTAAAAGAGGTCAGAAGGGGTTTTGAATCTCAGAACATCTGTCTGTCAAGACCCACTACTGGGGTCATGACCCCACTTTCAATTATACTGGCAAGCTTGTGCATAAAAGTAAAGTTGTGACCTTTGTTTATGAACTAGTGGCTTAAAATAGGTTCTGGGAAGAGGGAATAAAAAAACATTTGCAAAGCAGTGTATACTTGGAATGCATGTCAAGTGTAGGGTACTTTCCAAAGAGACAAGACTAGGGTGAGGTCATGCACACATGCAAAGCTTTGTATTTCTGTTTAGGTCATTCTTTTTCTCCATAAAAAGGAAAGAACTAACCATTCTCAAGGAGGAGAGAAATATAGCAGCAGCTGAGTTTTGTTTGTAAGGTGATTTAGAGCTCCTTCCTGAATTTAAATCATCAAAGTGCAGGAGTTACGTACCTGGAAGTATATAGTAAAATTTTCCATTGGAAACTGGGGGTTCATTTGTGTGAAATCAGAATAGAGTGTATGCTACAGCAGATTAAGATATTAGCCAGTCAGAGGATGACTGTGAAACACAGACAAGACCAGTCCTGAACAAGTCACATGTCATCCTAAGATTTATCAGATATGATATTTTCAGCATAGTATGGAGATTAGTCCAAAGCATCACTGGGAATTTAACCACTGGATAAATACCTTTCAGCAAAGTGTATTTAAACAAAGCATGCGGAGATGACGATTGAAGTGGCCAGTGAATGACAGTTCTGTCCTGCAAGGTAGAGACTGAGAAGGACAGTGAAAGAAAGCACAGGTTTCACTTCCTAAGTACAGTGGTGAGTAAAGGAAAGCAGGGGAAAGAACACTCTGAGACATGTTGCACTGATTTTTTTTTTTTTAATATGACTATGTTGCACTGATTTATTTTTTTTTAATATGACTATGAATCACTCTGGGTTAGAAACTGAAAGAACTGGCAGTACTGCAAAGTTTTAGCAGACTATGATTAGTCTGGAGCAAGGAACCAAACTGGTTTCAAGACACATCTTGCTGAATGGAATTGTACGGTTAGATGTATGCAGTATCAGGAGACAGGGACCAATTATACAGACATTGAACAGGTGACATTTCTAGTCCTCAGGAACAAGAATATCCTTCTGCCAGTAGTGCATCCTGGATATGGCATATCACCCAAAACTCTCCTTAGCCTGACACTGGAACACATACAGAAAACTAAGGTGGAGTTAGGTCTGCTGCTCGACTGCAGATTTTCTGATTAAGAGGGTTGTTTTCCAGATATGTAGCCAACATTGTGCATTGCTCAATGTCATAACATTGCTTGCAGTTATATGCAATTCTTCTCACTCTACAGTGTTTACCACTTCTAAATGTGGGTAGTCAGTCATAATAGCATTCTTATAGTGTTAAGAAATGTCTTCCTACCCCACTTGCTAATTTCATTTTATGTGAAACAAATGTGATTTTCCCCAGTTCTTAACTGTTTCAATTCCATATATTCTTTTCATGATCAACTGAAATGGTTTTACTGAAAAGTTTGCACAAATTTCCAAGTAAATGCTTATTCCTTTTCCTCCATCTGTGATTCAGGTGATAACTTCATAAGGATTACCAAAAGGATTAAAGAGTGACAGATGCTGCTGCCTACCTTGTGCAATTTACTGACTTTTCAAACCAGATTTATTCTGGAGAAAGAAAAGACAATTCATACTCTAATTCTTTATAGAGAGTGCAAGCCTGTTGTTCACACAGTTCAATTATGCAACAGAGAGCAGGCAACACTCTTAGTCTTCCAACAATCCACAACTGCATTGAAGAGCAGGTCCTGATTGGAGTCTGATCACTAGGACTCAAGCTCATCAGCTTCTTGTTTATATATACATATACATATACATATACATATACATATACATATACATATACATATACATATACATATACATATACACATATGTACATGTGTATATTTTCTTTTTTAAAAAAAGAAAATCACTAAAGGAAGCTCTTCCAGACCCAGGACAAAGAAGACTCCCCTGGAGGAATATGTACATAGAAAGATGATCAAATTGAAATGTCCTTTCTTCTAATAATGAGAAACCTTCCCTAATCACCAAGATCTGTAAAGGGCAAGTACCCTTGCATTGACTCTGCATAGCTCCCTCAGCATTCATGGGTGTATCCCATTAGGTTCTGTGGAGTTACACTTGTCCAATTTGTTTAGAAGTTCTCTGATTTGATCATCGTCCTCTAAGGATAGGTCTTCCTTGCAGTAGACTTTCCCACTGATCTCAGGAGCCTGGCATTCCTGAATGCTGCTTTTACCAGTAAAGACCAAAGTGAAGAAGACCTGAATACCATGTCTCAAGACGCTTTTCTGTGTCTTTCAGCAAAGGGCAGGTCCTGTTCAGCAGCAGATCCACATTTTCCATAGTGTTTTTTGTTGTCTTCATGCCTCTCACCACAATCAACTCCAGGTAGGCTTTGGCTTTACAAATCCCATCCCTGAACAATACAGCAATGTCTCTGTGCTCCCTCTGTGTCACCTCTCCCTGCCTTGACCTCTTTTATATTTGCTCTCTTCTTATATTTGAGGCTGATCAGGATATTCTTGTTCATCCATACAGGCCTCCTGTCATGATTTCTTTCATTTCAGAATGGGTGATTCTTGATATTGGAGGAGGTGATCCTGGAAAACCAGTAAGAAGCATGAGCACAGTGGAAGAAAACCAGTGAGAAGCACCATGGAGAAGAAAGAAGCAAAGAGCACAGAGCAACAGGCAGCAGCTGTTATGAACACAATCCGACTTCCAGGACCACCCACTGCTTCACTGAAGGAATTGGCGTGGACTGAGTATATCCTGCAGCAAGAATAAGGGAAATTGAGACTAAGAATTAAGGAGGATAGGTGTTTGAATTAAGGTGGGCCTGAGGAAGAAGAGGAAAAGATGTTTTCTTGAGTGTTTAATTGTTTATGCTATCTTTTTTTTTCTGATAACTGCATCAGTGATTGAAAATTTCTTTCAATTGGTAATTCATTAAATTAAGTAAAAGTTGCCCAGTTTTTACCTTTGAAGCTGGCAAGTGCAATAGCCAAACCTTCACTTCATGGACATCCTTTAGCATATTCTGCTTTGATAAAATGGACATGCATTAAAACCTTTGGAAACTACAGGTAAGATTAAGAGTCTTTATCCTGTCTAAGTACTCTGAAGAGAAGAATATATACAAAACTAAAGGAAGCTTTGACTGCATTAATACTAGGCTGACCTAAAGGTAATTAATGTTACCAGCTGATACACTGGTTTGAATTTACTCCTGTACTTCTGTAATTGCTCAGCTCCCAGACTACATCTGGTTTATATCTGTTTTGGAGTCATGGAACAGACACACAAAAGGCTGCACCCATCTCTAGCTATTTCCTATTTCTTTGTAGGTTAAAAATGCAAATTCTGAAATTGAATGAACAACAATAAAAGCAAAGAAACAGTGTGAGTCTTTCTTCTAATAATGTTTCAAAAACTTATTTTATGAGATTCATAACAAGCTTAAGAACTCTAAAAGGGCATGGTTGGTCAGAGGACCCTCTACTATATGGCCAAGAAGAGTTGCATGTGAAGACATCCCAATATAATTAAAAGGAGTATTCTGTCAGATCCTCACTAACAAAGGACTAGAGAGCATGTCCATGTCAGCATGTTGTACTCTCAGAGGGTATTCATTCTGAGTTTAGCATCCTAAACATATGAAAATAAGTGGGAGTTGGAGTGGCAGCACCTTCTAGGGGTAGGTCAACCTTTTCATCCCCCATTGGAGCAAGGTCATTTAGGAGCCCAGGAATACTCCTGTTTCCCTTTGGCTGGCTCTCTTGCCTTTTTGGCTTTTTTCTCCCCAGGTGCGAGGGTGGGTGAGAACTTGCTGAGTTGGTTTTGAAAATGTAAAATGTGAAGAAAGGGAAATTAGACCCTGGCTGTGGTTTAAATTGAAACAGAGATCAATGTCCAGCACTTTCAAGCATAATGGGTGTGTACACAGTTTGGGAGCAGTTCTGTAAGTTTGATGTAAGTCAGTCTGCTTGTGTAATTCTACCATACCTTGTCCAGATTCCTGTCTGCAGCTATGTTTGTTTTAGAAAATGTCTCTTCTAGTATTAAAAAAAAAAAATAAATCAAAACAAAAGTTTTGTTGTTCTAGCACAGTTCGCAGTAAAATCAGGATTAGAATTCTGCTTCTTAAAAACAAAGGTCTGCTAGCTGCCACACTGACTAAGCCACTTCATCCCTTGTTACTCTCTGAACTCTTAAGTGGACTCAGAGATTTGCCTACTACCCCAAAGCAGTGCGTGGAAGCAAAAGCCCTGTAGAGGGCTGGGTGGCTTCTAGAGTAACTAGGTGATTTCTGATTACAAATGAAGGTGGGAATTATGTCCAAATAGGTGCTTCTAATCTTCATGCTGAGGCTGCTGCATGGTCCCATGTCTCCTGCTAGAAGTGGGAGAAGATGTGCTAGATGCAGTTTCAGCATATAGAGTGAAGAGCATTTCCTGTTGCCATCTATCTCGTTTGTATGCGGGACAGTTATCTATGATTGAGAGATCCTTTTTCACTTAATAATCCCTTCCTCTGCAATTGCACTGAACTTGAAACCAGAGCAGTTTTTTACAGTTCCTGTTGAGATCCAGAAAGAGTTCAGTGGTACTAGTGGAAGAAAATAGATCTCCAACATTATTTGTTTTAATTTCTAAGGGGATGGCTCTAGCAACTGACTCAGGAAGCACTGAAAAGGATGTAATCTAGAAAATACCATAATAATGGCCTGTTTTACAGAACCCTGAGCAATGGTGAGTATCCCTTTGTCCTGGATACTTACTGCATTCATAGCAAATATGTTATTGTACTAAGTTTCCTTCTGGAAAGCTTTGTCTTGTGAGTAGATGTCTGCCAAACTCGCCTGAAGACAGGGTCTGAGCTGTGTGTTCTCAAAGTTTATAATCTTGGAGGATGCAAGTCTCTCAGATACATTGGTGTTACCTTGCCAAAACAAGCTGAGAAATATCACTCTAAAAATAGCACTGTCTTTTGGCTCTGAGCGTGCTTTAGGTAAGACATTCCTAAAACGTAAAATAATTAATAAATTACTCTGCAGAAACAAACTGTAAAGCTGACGAGGATTATAATTTTTTCATTTTTTATTTGTCATCCTTTACTCCCTTTAGGGTCAAGTCGTGGCCACATTTTTTTATATACAATGGTTTGATGGTTTGGGTAAGTTTTTTATTTGTGTTTTTTTATTTTTCTGGTTGGATGTTTTGGTTTTTGTTTTTTTTTGGGTTTTTGTTTGGGTTTTTTTTTGTGTGTGTGTTTTTTTTGTTGTTGTTGTTTCTTTTTTTTTTTTTTTGTAGTCCTAACATCTCTGATGATAAAGATTCTACCCAGGAACTCTGAATAAAGCAAAATCAATTTGATTTACGTGCTTACTGTATTGAGGGATGAAAGGAATGTGTCTCCAAAGAGATAATATTAAAATAAATTTATCCTCCTCTTAAGTAAAGTTCCCTGTCTCATCTATCACTTACAGCTGCGGCTGAACTGAAAACTCTGGTACCTTCCTTCATTGGAAGAACCTGATGAAACATTAATACTTCCTGCAGCATGAGCAAAACAAGTGTCCAATTGTTGCACCAAAATGTTTTTTTTTTGCCTAGGGATATTCTGTCATCCTTCTCATCATGACACTGAGTCTGTGAAAATGCACTTTTGATACAAATGTGCTATGCACATGTTTTGCAAGTCAGGAAATGTGAACTCTCCACTGAGAGGTGAATTGTTTTGTCAGCTGAATAAGTCTGGGAATAAAACAGAGGGCAAAAATCTACAAAAGAATTTAAGACTGTAACTCTTTTTCAGGCACCAGTGTTCACCGGGAAACAGATGAATGATAGGAACCTAAATACCTATGTGGATCTTGGCCTATATCTTGTTGATCCTTGTCCAGTGCCTTTTCTTGATGGCTTCTCTTTCTCTAATCATCTCCATGTTTCCTGGAGTCCTGGTTTATAGCTATTTTGAGATTCACCTTGCAATACAAGAATGAAGGATGATAATTCTTTCTGGGCTTTGAGTTGGTAATATGAAGTCTGACACACCTTGCAGTTTATATGAGAGGTCCATCAGTGTGCTGGCTTTGAAGGTGCCCTTGTAATGGTTCTTATGTGAACTTGGCTGCCTGTCAGCAGCATGACTGCACAGTTTGGGTAAGCTTGGAAAGCTCCTTTAAAGGCTTGCAAAAGGGAAAGGCCTCATTTCAGCACATTTTTACCAGTGACATAATCCTCTCTTAATATTTTTGTATTTAAAGCATCATGTCATTTCCCAGGTCAAGAAACTCATTCCCAAAGAATGTATGCCTCTGACTCTGGGAGAGAGTGTTTTTAAACGAAAAATTGTTGTTGCTGTTCAGCAGCTTTCCTGGGTGTCTCATTCTTTAGCTGATCCACATTCTTTCCCAGTGAGCAAGAAGATGATAAGGCATTAGTGCCTATTTATAACTTGGCAGAAATGCTTGTTTAATGATGCAGTACTTGGTGAAGGAAAAAGAGAGAAAAAGCAGCCCAGTCCTAAACACTTGCCCTGAGTTCTATTGTAGGTTATACCTCTGTGTTGGCATCCTTGTTGGTATGTGGAGGACACCATGTGTGACTTGGCCTTTGAGAGCAAAATAAAACTACATGTTCAGGGCTGCACAAAATGAGTCACCAGGAAACCATGTGTTCTTTCATCTCCTCACAGTTTTGTGTTTGATTTTTGTTTCTCTGAGAATGGGCTATTTATATGATGGTAGTACCTAGAGGCCCTGATGCAAAGTGAAGCCTGCATTGCTAGGCTGTGTGCAAACACATGGTGAGAGACAGGCTCTGCCCTTAAAAGTCAGTGATCAAAGAGACCCTGACAACGAAAGATAGGACAGGAAATGAATATGATGTGACTGTCCAAAAATTATGTCATAGTTCAATCACTTGCATACTAAAGTATCATTTACTTTTCATCTTTTGCCTCCAAACAGTCAAGAATTAGTTAGAAGGTAAAACAAAACTCCAGAGGGAAGAATTCAACTTCAGTGTACAACTCTGGTCTTTGCTTACTGCTCCTTGTTTGCTGCCTTGAGGTAGATGAGAAAAAGAGGGATCTTGGTTCTGTTTTCTACAGATGTCCTCACCACAGTGGTATGAAGCTGGCTATTTTCCAGCCTTGTTGATTTTGTGACTCTTTTACTTTCAGTTTAAATCTCCCACATTGAATATATATGACATCAGAAATGAATCGTCATCAGCTCAGAAGTAGCCTCCATACAGAACAGCTTTCTTTTAACACCCTGTTCAGATGGGATTTTGGGAGAATTGACAAAGAATCTCCTTTTTGCCAGGCTGGCAGTCCAGGGTGCTTGTTTTCTAATATGGCAGGGAATGGATTGGTTATTTTATTATTTTTCTAAGAGGTGGGAAAAGCTGAGTATTAGGAAAGGAATGTGAGGAACAGACAGCACAGCTTTAGCAAATTTTCAATGAACATGACATTTTTCTTTCTGTGAGGTCTATATCCATATTGTTTCACTCAGCAGAAGAAAAAGCAAGGCACCACTTCACCCACACAGGCTGTCTTCTTGGATGTCATTTCCTGGTGTGTCTGGTGTGCTAATATCTGTTATAGAAAAGATTTATGAAGTATGATTTGAATAAAACCAATCATTTTCTAAAGATATCAGAGTTCTACTGGAATCACTTCAAAGTGTGTTGACTACATCAGTGGCTGACACCCTTTTTTATGACTTTGGTAGGATGATCTTTTAATTCCCCACATATATTGTCAAATTGTACTCTTTACTGTAACAAGATTTTGTTATGAGCTTTGACTAGGGAAAGCCAGTCTCTGCTTGCACCTGTAAATATTTGAGCTAGAAAAATTTGAGGAAATGACAACCCCATTTATTTAATATATTAATCAATTTATTGCATTTTTTAATTATTATCCTGAGTCATGAGGAATACTTCTCTGGAAATTTAAGCATGTGATGGACAAAAGGAACTTCCTGAATGCCTGGGCCAACTGTAATGGAAAAGTGAGCTATAAACCCCCTGCCTAGTACTTTTACTAAAAATATCTTTTTGAAGTGATGCCTGCATTGTGTTTAAGAGCCACAGTCCTAGACTATCAACATAATGTGGATAATATTGTCAGGCAAGGTCAAAAAGGAGTGACTATTCCAGAAATTTATGGTATCTTTAAGAGAAGATGACAGACCTGGATAAGACTGGTTACAGGTATGTTCAACAGTTTTAGCTGTGTCAACCCTACAGTAGCCTAAATTTTGTCAAGTTTTTCTCAGGCATCATATCAAAGGAGAGATTTCAGTAGGGATTCAAAGACAACCAGTAAAATCACTTTGTTTTAGAGACCGTATCTGAAATCTGAAACAGGGGGAGTTATGTGACTGTAAAAGATGGAAGTCAACTATCAGTATGGGTGAAATAGGAAAAAATATAGGAACTAAATAGTGAGGAGCCTGAAGTTTTCCTCTGATGTGAAAGAGTGAAGAAAAATAGTTTAATTCCAAGAAAGTGACAGTAGTCTAAGAAATGGATTAGGAAAATTATTGTATTAACTTTCTGGATGGCTAGGAGAAGGGTGACCCAGTATGAATAAAAGCAGAGGAAAGAAACAAAAGAAACAGATGGCAAGGTGACATGGCTAGGCAGCACATTCATCTCATGGAAGAGTAGCTCTTTACATCCTTTTCTCACAGAACTGAGAGAGGCTGAGGAACTGTCTTGACAAAGTGCTCCCATGCAACTGTGACTTGTAAAATAAGGGTTTCTTTGGCTGTGAGAAGCCAAAGCTCCTACTTACTCCCTGTAAAATTACCCTCTTCTACTGTTTCATTTGTCTAAATAGAAAACACAGAGGAAATATTAATCTGTGCTGTTTTCCTTTACTGCAGGGTATGAATGTCCAGGAAAGCAGGAGGTGACACAGATGTGAGGGACAGATGGCAGAGCTCTTCCTACAGCTCCTGAAGTGGCCAGAGATTGCCCAGGCTTGTTCCACAGAAGTGAATCCCTCTGCCTGGTGTACATTCATTTTTTATAATGCAAGATGAATGAAGCAAACCAGATAACTTGGCCTTGAGATGCTGCAGTTGTAAACAAATTGTCCAGAATAAAAATATTCAAAGACACAAGCCTCACCATCCTCCCAGACTGTGGATTTTCCTTTCCCCATGCTGAATCCATTAATTTAGATATTTTGAACATGGCTTAAGGAGGGCCTTAACTCTGCAGGTATTGACTGCCACCAGTCCATACAGTCACTCCATGGGTGGGATTTAAAAAAAAATACTCAGAGGTAGCCCACAACAGAATTCCATTTCCTTTGTGTAATTTATTGGCAAAAGGGTGGAATTTTCTTTTCCCTACTCATATTAATGAAGCAGGCCAGGCTGTAACAGATAGCTGATGTCCCCACAGTTTAGGAAGCATATACTTAAAGGAAAATATAATGCAGCCTTCTTACAAACTGTGAGATCGGACAGCCTGCAACCATTCCACCTCTGAGACATTGTGGGTAGGGACAATGTCATTTTTTCTGTAAGAGTATTGCTCTCTAACTCTACTCTGACCACAACAGAAAGACCCTTCTCAAGTCAAGTTTTACTCAAGTTTCCAAGTGCATGTGAAAAAAATAAATGCTGTTTCTAGTGGAAGATAAAATATTCACAACTGTTACATCCTTAAAACACACCCCATCTCTGCTTGTACTAGTATGGGCAATAAATGCTGGGCATCTCAGCCCTACCTCCAAAAACTTGAAGTACATTGTTCAAGATTAAATACAATATAGACTTAAGTGAAAACAAACAAACAAACAAACAAAAATCTGGAGAGATTGAAAGCAGTGTACAGTGAAGTTGCATGCCAAATAAATTTCCCCTGAGCTGCCAGTGATGGCCCAGGTGAGGACCTCTAATTTAGGTAACAGCACTACTTCTTCTAATGAAAACTTGAGATCAACTCCTGTAATTGGTACTCCCAGTCTAGAAAATATTGGTGGTAACTCTCAGTTTTTTCTGTTGTTCTGTAGTAACTCACTGCAGTAATATTGTATAAGACACATCTGTTTTTTCATTGAACAAAAGAAGAATTTCAGTTTTCATTGCATTCATTGCTACTAATGCACGTCTTCAGGGCCAGAACAATCCAAAGAGATTGATTTTTCCAATCAATCCAGCTCAAATTCTAACCTTGGATCAAATGAGGAACTTGATAGTCTTCTCTCAGCATTTGTTTCTGCTGTCCCACAGGCTGACAGAACAGATGACTGGCAGTTTCTGGTCAGAATATTTCCTTACCAGTTTTCTAAGGGTGTGTTGGAGCTGTCTGGGAAACCTAACATGAGGATTGCTGTCACATCTTAGTGTTTCCCAGGAAAAAGTCAAGAATGTAATCAGTTTAAAATATGTGTTTAAGTGTTGATGGAAATGGGACATAGGCATATGTATAGTGTTCATCTGAATAAAGCCATGTCTTTGAAAGTCTAGCCAAGGTGACTGCTCAGACCAGCATCCTGCATTTAAAACTAATTTATAGTTTTCTCAGTCCAGAAAGACTAATTTCTGTCATGATTAGAGCTAGGCAGAGAAATACTCAATTGCAACATCAGCTCCTCTGATATTCATTGACCAGTGAGAATGGAAAAGATGTCAGGCATTTGGAAATGCTTCTGGCTGAAGCCAAGCAGGCCAGGCTGCCTGCAGGCCTCTTTCCTGCTCCCCTGCCTGCTTGGCTTCTTGTGCTTTGGTGGCTCTTTTGCTCATTATTCAGTTTCACAAGACTTTCTAATGAGACTGTACTGAGATATGGAAATGGCAAAGTCCACTGTGGGAGAGAACTGCTGTTCTTTCTCCACACCATTTTCTGGTGTACTTGAATTTCTGTAATTTAGTGAAATTTAGTTGGGCTATAACTTTCTAATGGAGAGGTATTTTTAATAATTAATTCATTTTATAGTCAATTACCTCATGGACTATTGTAGCCAGCACATATGCCAGTATTGATGGCATAGGAACTGATGACAAGATAAGTGTGTCTCAGAAATATGATAGTCTTTGGGCCTAAAATAGATTGAATTTTGCTTCACTGAGCAAGAAAATTAACATTGGTCATGCGTGACATGTAATTCAGTTTGCAAGGTCTTTCCAAAGGAACTCTGTGCTTTCACTGCACAGTGAAATCTGATATCAGAAAGTAATTATTTGTACCAACCTGCAGGGTGTGGACAAAGCACTCCCTGTTTTGGATGCATTTCCAGGCTGCACCAAATCTCTGGGGAATCACTCTAAATCTTAATTTTGGCATATTTTTAAAAATATTATTATAAGTACCTAGCAAAATAGACAGCATTTTAGTGTTTTTTTCAACAATCTGATGAATCCATAATTTTTCCATCATGGTACATCATAGTCAGATTTTTTTTAAAGTGTTAAAAGTTGTATTAATTTTCAAAAAAGATTATTTAAAAAAAAATAGCCCTTTCCCTCTGGCAACATCTTTCCATTTCCCTATAGAAGAAATTGCAATATTATGAAAGGAAATGTCAGGAATTATGTGTGAGAAAACAGCAGTGCGCTAATCAAAGTATTGTAAAGTAAATAGTGTGGTAGTCAAAGAAGTCTGCATGGGTCTAATGAGTAAAAAATACCTGTTTAGACTCTGACTTCATATTTAATTGTGAGACAGTGTCTCACTGAGGAATCAACATAGCTTTGATATCCTGATTATTTTCCTCAGCCTTTTGTACTACAACCCCTATTTTACTGATGAAAATGGACAAATTATGCTTTTGTGTCCGGGATCAGTAGAACAGTTACCTTCAGCCTTCTGGCAAGCCCAAACACAGGTGTAATAGAAGACCTGCAGAAATGCCAGAGGCTCTTTAAGGATATGCTGAGCAGTACAAAAGAAGTGTAAGGTTTGAGCAGCTCCTCCTTTCCTCACATTTTCCTTTGTTTATGAAAACATTGAAACCTCTGAAACGTGGTTGTCACTCTGTGGAAGGCAGTGCCCTAGGTCAGTATTGTCACAGATCTTTCATATTGTCAAATCAGAACTTTGGTTTGGCACAAGAACACAGGCTAAAAAAAGACAAAGTGGCCATCAAACAAGCAAAGGTAATGCAACCCTATTCCATTTTCATTTATTAGGATGAAGAAAAATATTTTCCTATTCTAGATGGATTATTCTGTATTTCAGCACATTTAGTTCCTTTTTTAGCTGCTTAGAAGACCTTCCTTGAAAAGGTACTTGGCAAACACAAACCCTTGTGAAGAGACCATGTTTCATTCTGGCCTTGAATTAGACTTACTCTGCAGAAGTTTATTTTCATGTCTGAAATGAATTTCCTATTATTTTTGACAAGGGTGGGAACTTAGATCTGTCTACCTTTAGCTATCAGGCTTATATCCCATGGCTTGATTATTTTACTGGGTGTTCTTGGTGTTTATTAACCTTTAAAATTCAAGAACAGTGCAAGGAAACCAGAGTTGTACAATTTGAAGAGCTGTAGTTAACTACCAGATTTTGTTTCCTTTGCTTTAGGGATCCAATGGCCAGATTTTGAAAGAGCATTTAGAATTTCCCTTGCACTTCCAGTAGGACTGTGTTTTCCTGTCCCTAAGAGATCCACTTCTGGAAAGACATAAAAGAGGCCACAGTTTATCTCCAGGATCTCGGCTTTCATTTAAAGCAAAAAAAAAAAAACCTAAAGAAAAAATATATTTTAAAAAAATTATTTGGAGACTACAGCAGCAAATATTGTGATATCTTGCTTTTACACATCCAGGTACCCTGTGGATTGCATAGCAGCTGTCACCCAGGAACAAGGATAAGCATCCTCCCATGGAGGGAGTACCTTTGCCAGTGTCATTGCAGCAGGGACCTGCTGTGTGCTGGGGCAGCTTTTCAAAATAAAATGTTTATTTACACTATTTTTTATGTCATTTAGCACTGCATTAGGTATGATTTTTGTATGTCCCATTGTGCAGGGTGAGGGACAATCTGTTTTGTGGGTACTTGCTGTACTCATGTGTGAGTTAGGCATCAAGTTAATGGAATTGTAGGATAACTCAGGTTAGAAGGGACTTCTGGCATGTAAAGAAACAAATATAGACAAGCTGGAATTTTTTATGCTATGAGAAGATGTACATAAGACTTAGTTTATGCTAGGGCTTGTTGATAGCTAAAATGAGATTTCCAGGAATCTCTTTCCATGTTTCTATTATTTTGATACTGAAAATCCCATAGGAATTTACTTTTTCCCAGAGTGGTTTCTTAGACTGGTGATACAGGGGTTCCTAAAACTGAATTCTGATCTTTAGAAACTTCAGAGCAGTATTTCTTTCGCATTCTGTCAAAGTGGTGACATGCAATAACAGCTGAAGAAGTTACAGACTTTGGACAAACCTGTGATGTGCAAAATGTTGTAACAAGTTCCCATAGAAACAGTTTTTTGGGAAGTTTTTCTACTAAAACATAAATGTGTCAGTAACTCTTGTGTAGCCATGGGTCTGCCTGATAGCCCTCAGTGGGAATTTTGCTGTTTATCCTCATGCTTGCAGGCACAGGAATGTAGGAACTAGGACTGATCATAAAGATACAAGGAACTTTAACATGCAACAGTAATTTTTTTCTGTTTTCCAATGTAATAAAAATATATATTAGCGTCTTATTGCTATTACATGATGTATGACCTATCCTCTTCTTCCTTTATCTGATGCTGTTTTACTCAAATCTCATCTATTAAATGGGTTCATATCTGTTTGTAGACACATATGAACAGACTACAAACAGAATGAAACCGCAGCTCTGTGATGTGAATTGCCTAGCTAATTTGTAGGATGCTAGCTTTAGTTATTCATTTTAACGCTGCAAATATCTGTTTGCTTAAGATTTTTAAGGTCAGAAGATTATATGGGCTTTCAAAACTGTGGAAAAATTTATACTAAAAGACTGTCATTTTACCCAGACAGCAGACATGAGGAACTCTAAAAGCACAGAAAACAGGTAGAAAATGAGTAGTTCAGAAGAACAGTCGTATTTGTGGAGTATTTTGCCTGACTTAGCCAAAGGAAGTTAACAATTTCATTAAAATACCCTTCAAAGCCAGACTACTTGCACAGAATGAGAGAAATGGACTTACAGCTTTGA